GTCAATAGTAAAACAATGGTACAAAAACTCAATAGTAAAAAAAAACTAATACTGGATATTAAAAGATGGGCTGAGGAACTGAGTCGACATTTCTGCTGCTCCCCTCAGCAGTGTATTTCAGTAGATCTGCCTGTTCTGCTCCCCACACTGTCTGGTGAATCCTCTCACCCCCAGCACCTCTGGCCTACACCCCAGTTCTTGAATGCGTAAATAAATAAATCTTTAAAAAAAAACAACTACCATATGATCCAGCAATCCTACTTCTGGGTACTTAAAAATTTGAAATCAAGATCTCCAAGAGATAGTAGCAACCCTGTGTTCACTGTACCACTATTCACAATAGCCAATATATGGAAAACAACCTATACGGCCATGAACAGATGAATGGGTAAAGAAGATGTGGAATGTACATAGCGTGGAATACTACACAGTCTTTTAAAAGAAGGAAGTTCTGCAGTATGTGACAACATGGAAAACCTTGAATATATTATGCTAAGTAGAATAAGGTGGTCACAGAAAGAAAAAAACTGCATTTATATGAAGTGTTTATAATAGTCAAATTCATAGAATCAAAAATTGGAATGGTGGTTGCCACGGGCAAGAGTGAGGGGAAATGAGGAGTTACTAATCAATGGGCATAAAGTTTTAGTTGAGCAAGATGAATAAGCTCTTGTGCTGTACAATACTGTGCCTACAGTCAACAATAATGTATTATGTACTTGATGCACACAAGAACTGGGGTACAGGCCAGAGATGCAGCAGGGTAAGAGGATTCACCAGAGACAGAGTGGGGAACAGAACAGGCAGATTGACTGAAATACACTGCTGAGGGAAGCAATAGGCGAGACAGGAGAGGTCTGCTGCTCCATATGGGTTTCTCCCTGACGGGGGATTGAACTCATGCTGCAAAGGCTGCGGACTGCTTTAATCCCTTGCGCCACCAGGGAGGTCCTGTACTTGAAAATTTAAGAATTTTTACAATAAAATAAAATCTAAAAAATAAATAAATCCGTATCAAATTACAGAACACCACCCTTGTCCCAGAAAGTTTCATCATGTTCCTTTCTAGTTAATCCTTTTCTCAATCTCCATAGATTAGTTTTCAACAGTAAAGTTTTTTAATTTTCAGTGTTTAATAACAATATATTCATCTCCTCTTAATTGTAATACCCAAATTTTCAGCAAAAAATATGATGGGGCATACTTGGAATTTATTAAAACAAATTTTGTTTTATATTTTCAGTGATATATGTTGCTCTCCTTATATTGCAGGGAAAAAATGACAAAAAATAGATGGTTATCTTTGGGTGGTGGAATAATGAGAGGTTTTCAATTTCTTTAAGCTTTTAACATTTTTCTACACTAGTTACAAAGAATATGTAACAGTTTTACAATGTTAAAAGCACTATTTAAGCATAACAAAAACTACATATCCTAGAGCATCAAACTCTATTGTGACTTGGTGGTTGTACTGCAAAAAGTAAGTTCAGTTTTACCCATGGAAGGTCTTCTTAATTGTAGAATTAATTAAACCCTGGATGAGACTTCCTTTGCAGGAAGTGTGAAATCTCTACTCCTGGATTCTCTAAGAACAGAGGAAGGTGATGAGCCACACTGGCAGGCTGAGGTGCTCATTTGCATGGAGGTTGCACAGTATCAGGTGATCTAGTGCCAAGAGCTGCATCAGTGACTCCAGACAATGGCTGACAGGGACCTCCATGCAGGCCATGCTCATGAGGGCCTCTGTGGGAAACCTGCCAGCTCTCTACAGAACAGAACTTCCTAAATCTTTGCCAAAAAGCAAATCCTAAAATTGTGTTTTGCTCTTGGAAAATAAATTTATCAACGCTAAAAATAACTAGGACAAAGCCAAAAGATGAAAGTGACTCTGAATGAGTTTCAAACAGATGTTTGACTAGTGTTTGCCAAGACTGTCAGAATGCTTAGAATTCCTACATTATAGCAGAGAGGTACCCAAAAGAATCTGTTAAGATGCAAACGTCCCCGGGCACACTCCTGGGGACGATAAAAAGGTGAAGATCTGTTTCTAGGTTTCTAAGTTTCATCTAACCAGCTACAGATCCAGAGACTATTATCAAAATTGTTTATTCGACGGGTCAGCAAGTCATGACTATCCTAATACATTAAATAAAATAAAGACTTTAACATAATGATGCAATGGAGGAGTATAATGCTCTCCTTTGTAAATATCTATAAAGCCTGACTATAAACGCTTATTCCTACCAACAGAAACTTGACTTCTATGTTAACCAAACCATCTCTTTAGATGACTTTTAAATTTAGTTCTAAGCCATAAAATTTCAACTCTAAGAAATTACATGGAAAGGAGCAATGACAGAGAAGGACACACCACACTGGGGGAGAGGTGGTTAGTGGAGCTGGCCTTCTTATAAGCTTTAAGACAAGGTTCATGGCATCCTCCCTAAGAAAACATAGGGCAGACGAGAAAACAAGGCTGTTTGTGTAAATGCATGGTGAAGGAACAAGAAGATAACAGCTTTCAAATCACAATATGCCAATATATTTTCATTTTTAAAAGCACTACCATAGTGCCAGATAAATTCATATTCCTAAGAGAACCTTGAGAGTCATGTAGCCATGAGGCATGTCTGGCTCCTAGATGGGTTCTCCCACCCCAGCACTGACCACCCTCAGCTTTTGGGGTGATACACCTGCCACCCTGATTGTACTTCCCCCTTTCTGGTTGCGTGAGAATGCCGAGTGAGGCTACACATATGTTTGAATTTGTTTAATTAGCCAGGAATTGGAAAACAGTGACTCTCTTGGTTTCAAAGCAGATGTTAAACTAATTTTGGGAAAGAACAGAGCCCAGAGAGTCTGAAGAATGATTCAGCCTCAGTCCCCGCAAAAGTTCCTTCACATTTTGGATATGCCCATCCACTTGACTCTCTTGCCATCAAGTTTCTGAATCTGTAAAAGCCTGTGTTGTTCCTCTTCCAGCTGTTTCTTTCTTTCTTTTTTTTTTTTTTTTAAGATTTTTTTAAATCTATGCATGCAAGAGCTGGGATACAGGCCAGAGGTGTGGGGGGGGGGGGGTGAGAGGATTCACCAGAGACAGAGTGGGGAACAGAACAGGCAGACTGACTGAAATACACTGCTGAAGGGAGCAGCGGGCAAGACAGGAGAGGTCTGCTGCGCCATGTGGGTTGCTCCCTGGCTGGCTGGGGATTCAAGTCGTGCTGCAGAGACTGTGGATAGCTTTGTAGTGCGGTGCTTCACTCCCTGTGTCACTAGGGAGACCTGGCTGTTTCAGCACCACGCTCCCTCCCAAGCTGGTTTGCTATCCAAGCTTAGGTCCCCTCCCTCTACTGCTGGTGCCACAAGTCTCACTACCAAGCCTGAACCCCAAGATCATTTCCTTCCACCATGCTCCCCACCAGCTCCTTACATGCCTTGACTCTGTACCCACTCAGTCAGCTGCCAATCAGGGATAGCTAAATCATGTGTTTTTCTCTGTTCCTGATTTGGGTCTCTAAACAGAACTATAAAGGCTGAGCTTCCCTGAGGCCATGTGGCCCTCGGTGTCTCTGAGCAATTGATTTATTCAACCCAACAGGCTTCTTATTGAACTTTCCCAAAAAACACTTATTCTAAGGGGCGGGGGTGGGGGGGGTGGTCAGTGGCCTGAGGGTGATCACGTCATTTACTATGAGGGATGCTGATAGCTAATCTCCAACTGTCTTATTTCTGACTCTAGTTTCTAAACTAATTCTGAACTGTCTGTATTTGTGATGGTGGAGGCTAGAGGATGAATGATGTCAAGTAACATTTTTCCCAATTCCCAACCTTTGTTCCCACCTTCCTGGTGAAAGGGTGTCTCTAAATCTACAGAAAATAGAAGGAAGAAATTAATAAAGAAAAAGGAGCAATTGGGCCTCCCTGGTGGCGCAAGGAGTTAAAATGCAACCTATGAAGCTATGTGAAGCCACTGCAGCACGAGCTCGATCCCTGGCCAGGGAGCAACCCACATGGCGCAGCAGACCTCTCCTGACTCACCTGCTGCTCCCCTCAGCAGTGTATTTCAGTCAAACTGCCTGTTCTCCCCACTCTGTCTCTGGTAAATCCTCTCACCGCCCCCAACCCCAGCACCTCTGGCCTGTACCCCAGTTCTTGTGTGCATGGATAAATAAATCTTTAAAAAAAGAAAAGAAAGAAAAAGGAACAATTAGTGAAAGAAAGCATTAAATGGTCTTGAAGATGAATAAAACTAAAAGTTAGTGCTTTGTAAGAACTAACAAGATCAAACCTCTGGCAAATCTAATAAAGAAAAAAGAAGGTCTTGAAATTAGAAACAAGGAAGGTATAATTATATACATGGATTTGTAAAACTAAGCAAAACAGATAATTTTCTAGGAAAACACAGATTACCAAAAGTAACTCAAGAACAAACAGCAACAGAAAAAGGCAAAGGATAGAAAAGGGAGAGTCACAAAAGGAAAACTGCCAAAGACTAATAAACATGAAAAAGTACTTAACTTCTCCAGGATGTGACAAGTATGAACTAAATAATGAGGTATTTTTAAACCCACAATATACACAAATATTTTTAAGAGGAATTAACAGTGTCAGTATAAATACAGGAAATAGGCACACTCACTCTCTTGTGTATGGCTATTGGGAAGCTGGAGTGGAAATTAATTGTAAAGTGGGACTTTTCAGATTTTGCTCTATTTTTAATATTTGAAATTTTACATGAATGTTTTTGTATTATACCTGAAATTTTAAAAATTGAATATTTAAGCATGTAAACACAAGATTAATACCACAATTGTTATTATATTTTTAGGATTGGAGAACAAAGTAAAATGAGGACATAGACTTAAAATAGCTTATGGATCTGAAACATACTAGGTAAGAGAAAGAAGAAACAGAAAAATAGGCAGCAAAGTACAGACTGGTTAAGTTACTGAAGAAGCCATACATACAAAAATAATAACTTCTTGAGGACAAAAACTCACTGCGTTCTCTCCTCCCCTGAACTTTGCCCAGCACAGAGCAAGTACCTGTGTTTAATAAATGAAATAAAAATGAGCCCAACTGTCATAAAATATCTCCCGAGAATTTCAATTTCAAAATAATCAAGTAAAGACAATTTCATTCATGTATATTTCATGAATTTGAAATGTAAAATAATTTTCACTGAAATCCTAATTACTCTTACAATAACCATTAAATTTTAAATTTATACTTGCACTGGGCATTTTTCAGCAGCTAGCCTTCAGTTAAAAAGATGTGATTCATCTTGGTCTATTAATATATTTTCACAGTACATTTTAATGACCTTTGTGTGCTGCTCTTCAGATTTGTTAAAATTCAGTTTTCACCTTTTTCTATTTTGTTGCATTATATCAGTTCAGAAAAAAATGACATAGCAGTATGTTTCAATGAAGAATAAAAATCAGTTGAGAATAAAATAAACAGAACTCAACAGTTATAGGGACATGATTGAACATGGCTAAAATGCAAGATGGAGAGAGACACATGCCCTATATGTCAAGTGATATGCCACACAGAGTTAAAAGGAAAGTACAATTAGGAAGTACAATGGTAAATATTGAAAAATTGGAATTTACTGGAATTTATTGATCCATTTGCTCTTAAGTCTAGTGTGCCTTACTGCTTTTATGAAGCTTCAGTAAACAGTGACAGAAAACCACGTGTCTCCCACGTATGTGCTTCCTCAAGGGCAAAATAATGTTTCTCAGTACAAAACTGATGCAGTTCATTAGGTAAAACTAGAACAGAACACACACTAATAAAATGGTTTTTAACTTTTCTGGAAGATTTATTTATGCATAGAGAACTGGGGTGCAGGCTAGAGGTGCGGGGTGGGGATGAAAGGATTCACCAGAGACAGTGGGGAACAGAATAGGCAGGTCTACTGAAGCACACTGCTGAGGGGAGCAGCGGGCAAGTCAGGAAAGGTCTGCTGAGCCATGTGGGTCACCTCCCTGGCCGGGGATCGATCTTGTGCTGCGGTGCTGTGTCTTAACCCCTTGTGCCACAGGGAGACCCCTAAAATGGTTTTTTAGAATAATCCCGCAGTTAATGATAAATGTTTTGGTCAGGGAGAAAACAGATCAAGATATTAGCAAAATTCCTCTATCAAATTACACTCTAAACATCAAACATATCAACAGCATGCCATTTACAAGAGGAATTGCTAGGATCTATGCAGGCCAGCAGCTAATTTCTACTGACCACTGAATGAAATGTCTGTGCAGGCTATGAGTCAGCACCTTTATGTTTGAGGCTGATATTCAAAGACCAAGTTACAGGGTGGGTAAGGGGCCAGGGATGTATGCTGATGAAGGACCTGTTTTATGTGTAGCTGGGAAGAAAGAAGTGGCTACATGAAAGAAAAGACATTGCTCGTAATGTCAGCCTACAACACTGCTGTCTCTTCTCAGAGAAGAGTTGATGATCTGAATAAATAATATGTTCTTCCTTTGGTACTGAAAAAGTGATAAACATTTTGTTTTTGTTTTTGTTTTTGTTTTTTTAATGCATTAGTAAAAACTGAAAAGAAGAAAGCCAACAACTTGTTGCTTCAGTCATCTCTAGATAACATCGGCAGAGGGAAGTGACCATGGTGCCATTCTGGGGGATTGCACCTGTGAGCTAATGCTTCAGGCAAGCCCTGCGGTGGGCCCAAAGTTTACAGATGCAAATAGGAATAAAAATATGAATTAAAAAGAAACAATGATCCTGACCTTGTAGAAAGTATATTCTTAAGGGACTAGTAAAGGCAAGTTTTCAAATGAGCACATAATTATTCAAATGAAATTCTGACCCATGCTAAAGAGGAAGAACAAAGGTACTTTGAGATTGCAGAAAAGGAAGTCACTGTAAATTGATCAATCCTTCAGAGAAACAATTGGCAAAATTTTGAATATCCATACTTTTTCTCTCAGTAATTCTACTACTAAATATCAATTCTACCAAAATACATAATTGTGCAAATATGTACACAACATGATGCTTACCACAGTATTAATTTACAATAGGAAAAAACAAGAAACAATCCATCAACAGGATATTGGCTAAATGAGGGTATATTCACATAATTTAACCCTCAAAGAGATGATACATATATGATGCCAATATGATATAAATGGCCACATACTGACATAAAAAAAGATGTGAAAACAAAAGCAAACTTCAGTACAGTGCAGTTACGTTACTATATGAACAAATTTCTGAATATAAATATACAGATGCTGTATGTACAAAAGTACCTGGAAAAGATAACTATTTTGAGAATATGGGGAATTGTCACTAAGTCATATCTATTATATATTGTGTGCAATTTTTATGTGAAATTGCAACAGGGTGGTCCCCAGGAAAGGGGGAGGTTCCCTGCCCCACCCAAGGGAGGGTGGAGCTGAGCAGGAAGAGGAGAAGCTGGAGAAGAGACTGAAGAAGGAAGCAGGATGGTGTCCTATAACAAAATTAATTTTTGAAACAAAGAAATTAAATGCAGGAAATAAAACATTTATGGGTCTAAAAGATCTCCAACTTTTCAGTATCTAAGACACATACAGAATACCTCTAATTCTGCCAGTGGTGATGGAATCAAAGTTTTCTTCCTAATCATAAAAATAACACTTTACTTAATAAATTCAGTGTTTCATATTTTAGTCTTTTCTTTTAGGTTCTAGTCCTTCACACAAAACATAGGCTATAAATAAGTCTGCTTTATAAGTGTCTTCTGCCAAAACCCACTAAAAGTAAACTGAAAACTATAACCTTAGAGTCTCATTATCATTATAGTCTCCACGCTTGACTCAGTCAGCAGCCACCCTTTCATTTGGAACTCTTATTAAAATGCCATACAACAACTACTTTCAATGAAAACAAACCCAAGGATATGACATTAAGCTTCCTTTGTTGCTACTTACAATGACTAAGTTCTGAGCTTCTAATACAGTTTTCATTTAATTACTACATATTAAAGGGTAACACATGTTTTTCTCATTACATTTAAATTCAGTTTGTTTAGGATACTGTCACACTCTTCCAGATTAAATGAGGACATAGTAGAAGTGTCTGTGAAAAAAAAAAAACCCAAGTCTCCTATGAAGAGACCAACTACCACTTTTACATAGTTCACCTCTAGAACAACATATAAAGCTTTGAAAGTCACCTTCAATCATTCAAAGTGAGTCATGTCCCACTGCCTTACTATTACCTAGTAAAAACAGCCTCAGATCTAATTATAGCTTATTCGTATGCTGAAGCCAACAAAATAATTCCATTCAACAAGAGAAACAAGTTCTGAAACATTTAATAAATAGCCAGCAGCTGATGAATATTTCCCCCACAACTTCTTTCCAAATCCTTTTATTATTCTCTACAAATTAGAAAAATATTTGAATTATGAGTAGTTTATGAGTTTAGTTACCCACAATTTAAGACTAAATATTTATTGTGCCTCCTCTGTTCCAGAAACGCTAAACACTGAATATGAAAGTGGAAAAGATACTAGCCTGGCCCCCAAGAAATTCAATTTTGTAAGGGAAACATAGCTCACAAATTATTATTATAGTGAAACTCCCCCTTCCTACCTTTGAATAAAGACCTAAGTGACCAAGTAAATAGGAGTAGTTATGAGTATGAATTACTACTTTAATTCAAGTTTCTCCCTTAGAAACTTATCTACATTTCTAAATACCACTCCCCACTAAAAGGAAGCAGGGTTTCCAGCTGATTCTACATATGTAGTATGAAATGAAGATGAGTCTGATATACTTTATGGTGTCCAGAAATCAAAGAAGTATCTAAATACTAATGAAGACATGTGAGATAAAGATAGGAGTGAATCTGAAGGAGCTCAATTTGGCCTTCTTGGGATAATTTCAGCAAAAAAAAATATAATGAATATAAAATATTAATTAATACACTTTGATACTAAAATAAGACAAGGAAAATGAAGTTCTTTACAGGATAATACTAGCTAACAAATGCAGAGTAAAAATGACAAAAATAGGGGCCTCCCAGGTGGCGCAAGGGGTTAAGTCTCAGCACTATGAAACTTTTGGCAGGAGTTCAGTCCCTGGCCAGGGAGCTAATCCACATGGTGCAGCAGACCTCTCCTGTCTTGCCCACTGCTCCCCTCAACAGATTATTTCAGTCTGCCTGTTCTGCTCCCCACTCTGTCTCTGGTGAATCCTTTCACCCCCACCCCTGCCCGTGTCTCTGGTCTATACCCCAGCTCTTGTATGCATAAATAAAAAAAAATCTTTTTTAAAAATGACAGAAATAAGGCCTCCCTGGTGGCACAGGGGGTTAAGCACCACACTGTGAGGAGATCCGCAGCCTCTGCAGCATGAGTTCAATCCCCGGAGGGCCAGGGAGCGGTCCACATGGCACAGGAGACCTCTCCTGACTCTCCTGCTGCTCCCCTCAGCAGTGTATTTCAGTCAATCTGCCTGCTCTGTTCCCCGCTCTGTCTCTGGTGGATCCTCTCACCCCCCACATCTCTGGCCTGTACCCCAGCTCTTGTATGCATAAATAAATAATCTTTAAAAAAATGACAGAAATAGGAAAACACCACCTATTTACAAACTTTAACACATTTACCAAAAAAATGTTAAATCATTCAGTAAAAGGTTGTTGAGGAAGATGATGTACAGATGATCACAAAGTCACCAACTACAGAAAGAAAAACAAAAGACATCAAGCTTATCATGACCAGTTAGTGGGTGACCTGGCTCTGAGTACTTCCTTGGGTGATGTGACAAGAGACACACAAACACCACCCGCGGATCCTATCTGAAAATGTCTGAAACTGAACATAAGGAACAATCAGATAAATTTATAATGTGGGACATCTATTAGATATCTCACCTGGCCTTTTTAAGGAAAATTCACTTTTGTGAAAAGCAAATCAAAGTTTAAAAAATAACCCCACACAATATGGATTTGGTCTTTGGGGAAAATGGAATAGCCCTTTCTCCTATCCCACTAAATACAACTAAAATCTTTGAGAATTAGATACAAA